AGCCCCAACTCCAAGGTACCAACAGAATCCAAAATTCCCTGGACTGATGAGATTTCAGATACTGCACCTTATTGTCCTCATGAGGCAATGTATATCCATGACCATACACCCTCATATTGGCATGTTAATTCTCTGGTTGGAAATGAAGGAATGAACTAATGAATGGTTATCAGGTAGAGGTTCAGGTAGTGCCCATGACTTTTATTCATGTTTCTTTCCATTCCTTCATTAACTATTCATTGCAGAGAGGCAACACTCCTCCATGGTATTGCTAACCATCTGCAGATTGGGTCCCATTTCCTCTCCTAAAGGAGCAACCCCCAGCAGTGGGTATTTAAATTGACCCAACTTTGCTGCCATAGTGCACAGCCCACCTATCACAGCAATTTGTACAAATGCCACTCTAGTATCCAGGCCTATGTATCATGTACTTTGAGATTGCACAGTTCCTGAGGCCTTTGTAAAGCAAACCTTTCATGAATAAATCAGGAAATACCCTGATGCATGCTTTATGTAGAGGAAGATATTCTATTTAGGTCACGCAGGGAAGTTCTGCCAAGTTTGCTAAAATGAACAAATCCCCTGAGTGCAGTCCACCTCTACACATTCGGAAACACAGGCAAGTATCTCCCCGGCCCCTGCGGCTGTGCTCTGCAGACACAGAGGACTCCAGGTCTATCAAGTATTAGTTTGATCACCTGAGACTCCAAAGACTTTCAAGTCAGGAGCCAGGCAATGGATTTTTCTAGTCCACAGGAAGAACTTGGAATGGAAAATTTATCCACTTTGGAGCCTACGGCAATAGGACTTCTGCAAGCAAAGGAAGAAGGAACAGGAAAAATTATAGTGTGTCTGTTGTCTCAGCCTGTAGTTTTGAATCCACTTAAGAAAGTCCCTTACTTTGTTTGAGTCCAGAGCATTGCAACTGACTCTGAGCCTCTCCCAGAACACAGGATGTGGCCTACTTCGCCCTCCCCTTTAGCAGTGGAAATTCTCCTGATAAGAATAAGGATTTCCAGATTTTCAGCCAACCTCGAATTAGAGAAGGTTATCTGGGGTAGAAGAATGCAGAACAAAATGTTGAATGATTCCCTTCCTTTTAACAAGGCTGGGCAGGCCCAGCCCCTTTTGCCCAGAAAAAGCTGCATGAGATTAGAAGAAGTCTTTTGAAGAAACAGATGGAGCCACTGACTTAGCTGCTGGGTGGTCAGAGCACGGAAGTGTCTCAGAGAAGGTGGGCAGGATGTTTGGACAGGATCTAAAATAGACCTTTGCTTGATTCATGGACTGATCTTTTGCTTTATTGGTTCCCAAGTTTGTCTCAGCGCTGTTAATGGTGATCAGCTACTTAGTGATCAACTTCTACTACATGTCACAGGAAGGAAACTCAAAACAACCAGCAGCAAAATTTCTGGCAGCTAAGGTTGTTTCTAGGAACTTGTCAGCCTGTACCTCGATTCTTTGGGAAGTCAAAAATAACCTAGAGGTCAGCTATGAGTATAAATCTGAACAAAGAGACTTTGTTCTCATTGATGTACCTAACCTGAGGTGGTGCCTCTTGCTCAGCTTTGCCCCTTTGATTAGGCTGACTATATAAAGACCACATCCTCTTCCTTCCTTCTGTTTCCAGTACTCTTCTTCAAACATCTGTCTTTGGTTGAAACCTTTCTTCTTTAGATTTGCCAATGACCAGATTTAGAAAACTGGACTATTTTGATGGCTATCTTCAAACAGCTCATTTGGTGCCCCCTCCCCCCAAGTTTTACCTCCATTACCATTTGCTACCATGGTGAAGATTTTACTTAAAGCTGGTCACAGTAATTTATGACTTGATTTTCTAATAGAGTTGTCACCAATACCCACAACAATTTGTTCCAGAACACCCTGTGGATACTAAAATATGCTGATAACTCAAGCTCCTTATACAAAATGGTGTAGTATTTGCATATGGCTATGCACATCCTCCCATATACTCTATGTGATCTCTAGATTACTTATAATAGCTAATACCATGTATATGTTATATAAATAGTTCATATACAATTCCCTTTAGGGAATAATGATAAGGAAAATGTCTGTATATGTTCAGTACAGATGCATTTTTCCCTGAATATTTTTGATTCACAGTTGGTTGAGTTCATGCTTACAGACCCATACTCATGGAGGACTGACTATGTTACCTTATTAAAGCATCACTGATGTTCAAGTCCTTATGAATAGTGCTTTCTTCTTGTTAGACCACCAGTGTAATTCAGAAGTTTGAGCGCAATTCTATCCTTAATATATTGAGTGATCATGGGCAACTTTCTTCACTCTTAAAATGCTTATCAAAATGTGTACTCTCCTGGACCGATAGAAAAAGACCAATTGGGAGAATCTATCTTGATGGATGGTGTGAACGATAAGTTGTTGGACAAATGAGTAGTAGCTTTGCTGAAGATACATGTATAATTTTTCTCTTTTTTTTTCTCTTGTATTTCTCAGTACTGGAAGCAGTATCTGGTGTACAGTAGGCAATCAATACAAGTTCCTTGCTTGATGGTTGTCTTATAAATGAAAGCCTATATCTGGGCACCAGTTCTTCAAGGAGGGAAAAGCAGGAGAGAATTTTAAAAAGCATGCATATTTTTTCTCATTCTAAAAGTAATTTGAGGGGCCTGAGATATAGCTCAGTGGTATAAGCACCTGCCTGGCAAGCATAAGGTTCTGAGTTCAATTCTCAGCATAAAAAAAAAAAAAGTAATTTGATCTCAAACAAAAATTTAGAAAATACAGGAGAGGAAATACTTCATATTTGCAGCCTGTTAGTATTTTATATTTTGCTGCATTACATAAAATACCAGGTCTGAAATTATCTTTCTTTCCTCCCTCTCTCTCTTTCTAACATGCAAATACACTTCTGTGTCTTCAGTGCATAACACTGTCCCTTTAATTGCTGACTACAGCTTAGACCTAGAAATGTGTTTTCTCAGCAGGCAAACAAATAGGTTATTAGCTCTATAGCAAATCTATTAGTTCATTAATTAATACAAATCTGAGAAATGTCAGGGAGGACCTGTGAAATCTAATTCTTTCTTGGTTTTGGTCTTTAAGGCTGTAGAACTAATAATAGTTACTATTTACTTAGTGTTTATTATAGGTCAGGCATTGGTCTAAGGTAGTGATGGTAAACCTATGGCATGCATGTTATTTGTTTTAAGACAAAAGATGTTAACATATGAGTTGTTTTTCTAAACTAAAATGTAAGTATTCAGGTTTAAATGCAGTGTTGGCACGTTATGATAAATAAACGGGTTTTGAGTTGCAGTTTGGGCACTTGTCTCAAGAAGGTTCTCCATCTCTGGTCTAAGGCTTTTGATGCAGTTTATCCTCATGACCATCCTAAATAACAGGCACCCAAGTCCACAATACTTTATCTATAATTCCACAATCCAAAAGCCTTCCAAATGGGAAAGTTTTGGCAAAATTGGTGCCAAAACTCCTGTGGAAGCAAAATTTAATATGACATGCCATGAAGGTATACATGATGGTTTTTTATCCCAATTATTTCTCCAGAAATAGATAATGTGTTTGATTATAGAGTATTGCCCCAGAACCTTCTGAGGGTTTATATATTAGGGAAAATACACTCTTCCCTTTATAAAAGTTTGAAAAGTCTGCACTTCTAAACACATTCTAATAGAAAGACTTTAAGTCCGTGATTTTGAAATATATTATTACCCTTACTTTAGATATGAGAAAAGTAGATCTTAGAGGCATTGAGGAACTTGACCAAGCTTGGTCAGGATTCCAATTCTGAATGATGACTGGCTTTAGTGTCTGCATTAGACATCTTCATGTATGGGTCTCACTGCAAAGCATATATAGCTCTTTCCAGCACACTAGCTTTAAAAGTTTTATGTAGATGTTATAGTTAAGGCAAGCAAGATTCGGGGAAATTGTATGACTTGCCCAAGATCCGATAACTCTAAAGCAGCACAGTTGAGATTCAAGCAAAAGTCTATTGGTTCTAATCCCATGTTAGTCCAGTGCTCTAGGTTGCCTGGAGAGTAACCAAACTCACATTATAGCACAGAGCTACTTTTGCATTTACGCTAGCATGGCTACTCAAGTAGTCTACACAGAAATGATTCTACTCACTCCAAGCCACCAATGACCAGATTCCTTGGAGTGAGAAAGCATGGAGCTGTCAAAAATAACTGTTCTACATCGCAGAATTGACTAACTGAATTGTTGGCCTAGTCAGCACTTCTTTGACCAGCCACTGCAGAAATCAAGGCGTGGATACTGCAACTCACAAACCCATCTTGCAAGGACAAAGTGATCATAAAAGTGAAAAGGGCACTGGAATATGAATTCAGGAATCAGAGACCTAGGTCTGGTTTTTGAGTGTAGACAAGTCCTGCCTTCTCTGAGCCTTTCTGGGGACCAGAGTGTGTCCTACATGAATATTGTATGGATCCAAAAGATGTCTCATGTTATGGAGCCTAGAGACACACCAATATCATCCAAAAATATAACAAGAAAGCTAGCTAAAGTTCAGGACTTATCAGGCCTTGAGATAACTTGATCTTCTGCATGCATCTAAACAGTGCAATTCACAAAGTTCAAAGCCTAAAATGTGCAAGGAAGAGACAGTCCTTTCTACCTGGACTCAGGTCAGAAACATCAGATATGTCCAGTTTCCAGTTTCAGGTTCTAAGTTAGACAAAGATAATCATTTCTATTTGTCATTTTCTTTTCCTTTCACAGTGTAATGTTGAGAACTAATTCATTTCCATTTCAGGGACCTTGATTCCGCCCATTCTGAAGGCTTAACTTGACCATAATATTTAATCATAGCACCCAAAGAGAACAACTTATTCACAGTTGGTGAAATGTTTTCAACTTAGCATTCAGTTCAGTTTCTTTTACTAAAGTTGGATCCTGACTTTGTTGTAGTAAAGCAGCCTGATTGAGAGAAGTTGATGCTATTTAGTTAAAATAGCAAGAAAGACACATGGAGGTGCTGGGTATTGAACCCAGGGCCTTGTGCATGCGAAGCACACGCTCTACCACTGAGCTACACCCCCAGATGAGATAACAGTGATGCTGATGAAGCTCAGATCCCTGATGGCAAAACTAGCTTGGCACTCTATCATCCACCCTGATAGGGAGCTCAGCCAAGTTCCTGCTGTCTCCTGTGCTCGGATTGCTCCTTTCGGATCTGACAGAGATGATGACAATCAAAATGAGCTTTGGACACTGCAGTCCAAACTCTTGGCAAAAGTCTTTGGCTCCTGCTTTTCTCTCAGCATTTGGCTTCTTTTCTGCTTGTTCTGCTTCCTGCTTTTGGCTTTATCTCTTCCCCAGGCCACAGTGGCTTCTTGAAGCCTGTGGAGGTTGCAGCGTGAATCAATGGGAGAAGCCTCTGTGCTCTTTTTTTTTTGCAGTGGTTTCCCTCTGTGCTCTTTTTCTGCAGGGGCTTCCCTGTTCATTCATGTCTGCCTTTCTGGGTATGATAGTACATTCCAGGCTTGGGTTATAGAACTCAACTTTGAGTCTCTCCATTTAGCTGAAACTCCCCAGGTCCGGTGGAAAATGATTTTTCCAAGGGTCACATCCTATGTCTCAAGTATGCTACAAATTTATTTCACTTCCTGTGCTCTCCCTCCCCTGAAGTGGGTGAAATGTGTCTCACTGGGTGCTGTTCTACTTCTCCAAGGTGGGGTCTTGGAGGAGACTCAGATAGGCCCACAATCAGTGCTGCAGTTCCGGGGACTATCAGGGATCTCTGTGCTCTGAGGCCTCAATGACTATAAACTCATTTTGGGCAACAGTAGAGATAAAAGAAACAATATAAGAGGATGAGTATAGAAGGAAACCATTTTTAGTTTCATTACAGGTTTCACAACCACTACTTACCTTTCCAGCACCAATCATATTGGACCCTAGCCTTGTGCATACATTTCTTCCTTCTTCAGTAGGCCATGAGCAGGCCAATACTGCTTCCTTTGTCTTTCTTGTGTCTAATTTCGCAGCACTCAGCTTGGAATCCTACTCCCAGTAGGGGCTCAAAGTGGCTGTTGAGTGAAAGTATAGTTGACTATGCAACTGAATCATTCATGCTTTGTAATTGGGAACCAGGAGAATATCAGTTCTACTGGTTGCAGGTATTCAGATCTCCTGAGACAATTAATAGAATTCTCCTAGTTAGGGAATTTCATGAAGCTGAGATGCTCTGAGCCCAGATTGAATTTTGGGTTGCTACTTACTCCGGGCAAGATGAAGTGGGAATCTATGAGCTACATTAAGATGCAAAACTCCACTTGCACTCCAGCCTTGCCTGGAGTTAGGAGTTCTCATCCCTGTCTGCACATGTAATCATCTGAGACTTTTAAAAGCAAATTTGGGCCCCACTTAAAAGTAATTGAGTCCAAATCTGAGGATAGGGTGTAGGTATGGACATTTTTAAAAGCTCTCCTGGTGATACTTTTGTGCAGTCATAGCTGAAAATCACCTTCTAAATGATGATTAAGCATTATGGTTATGCTTAAATCTTATTTCAGCACTACCAGCTGTGTGGCCTCAATTTCCTCATCTACAAAGTGGGAACAGTTGTATTTCCCCCTACAGTTTTTTTGAAAATACTATATGATAATGCGTCAAAGAATAATAAGCCTTTGTGCACTAGATCTTGCTATTGTTTTATTAGCATTATAATCTTTACGGTTATTTGATGTCAGTGCTTTGGAATACTTAACAAAAACAAATTCTATTTACTTTAATCAATCAAGATTTATTTCCTGCCTCAGATGTGACAAAAGCTGTAAAAATAAAACATAAAAACAAATCAGACCCAGCATCTGGGCAAAGGAAACTTTGTGTGCCGAGTTACCTATTATGTGCTTGGGTTTCTGGATATATTATCTCATATTAGACTTCCGCTCATTCCCTGAAAAAGTCACTACTATTCATTTTCAAGTGAGGGAACTAAGACTCGGGGAAGTTGTCACTACAGCCTCACAGCTCCAGTGTGGGGCAGAACTCAGGGCCCACTGTTTCCATCCTTGAGTACTGAGTATATGTCAAGAGTGTAGCTTTCTTTCTCTCATGAAATTTACAGGAGGAAAGAATGACCTATGCCAAGTACAGAAAAGTCATTTTGAAGGAAATGAAAATTCAATGGAGACTTGAGAGATGAAAAGGATTTCAGCAAGTAAGAAATGGGATGGTAAGGACATTCCTGGTGGGAGAAAACAGCAGGATCAAAGTCAAAAGTATGGTGGTGCACTCTCATGAATTTGGGTGTGTGCGTATTGTGCACTTAGCTACTTCAGCTTTATTCCTCACCTCTTACGTCTTAGGAGAGACTGTCTTCTTCTGAGGCAAGACTCTCAGGGAGATTAGAAAGTAGTGTCAGTAACATTCTCGCCTCCGCTGCTCTTCTTATCAACAGCAAAAATTCCATGCATTCTGAGCCACTATTCCACTGGGGTCCATGGTGGTTTTACATGTTAATCAAATGCCAAATGTGCAATAAGGGGTTCAGGACTGACAAGGGCTCTTATCTTTTTCTTGCATATCAAACATATCAGATGCAAACACACACACACACACACACACACACACACACACACACACACACACCCAGCCATAAGGAAGAGCCCGAAGGCTCTTCAAACACTATGTAGCAAGCTCTGTTCATTTTACTAACTAGATTCCTGGTCCCATCTGCTCATCACAAAGCACAAGGTCAATGCCACCTTCCCTTTCATAATCCATGTCTGTGGTTGAGCTGTTTGCAGTGGCAACAAATGAAAATTCCCCATACCTTGCAGCTCTCAGGTGGCCACTTCCAGCCTGCCTACAAGTGCAACTGCAATATGTTATACTGAACCAAATTCCACACCACTGTGTCAGTGTACTTTGCATGGCTGGGCCAGGAAGGGGAGAGCCTCTTTTGGAGGATGCTGTTCCACTACCCAGTATCTGCTTCAGCCTGTTGAGAACTGCAGGGAGAGAGGGAGAAAGGAGGAGAGGGAAGGGAGGGAAGGAGGGAGGGAAAGAGAAGAAACAAAGAAAAAAAGCCTAATGTATATAACATGACCTTTACAGCTTTCATTTGGAGGTTGGCTCAGCAGAGGTTGTTACATTTTAGGTCTTCATTTCTATACAAACAAAAACCTACATGTGTTAACCATGCTGCCCAGAGGTTATGTCCAAATTCTGCCAGGAGGATAAGGTTAATCATAGGTTCATCCCACAGTGATCTATACAGGCAGGGCTGCAACCCAGCGAGGTAGCTACAGTGGAAATACCAGATTTAGAAGAAGCTCTACAGGTTTCCACAGCTGCTGACTGGATTCTGTGGGGAGAGGGCTCCATACCTTCAGGGAATTGGAGAAAGCTGCAGAATATTACTCAAAGTACGGATTCCGTAAGAGAACTTTCGCTGCTCAATCAAATTTAGTAATGGGAAGGAGAAAGAAGCTCTTGGCCAGTTGACTCCTGAGATTATTGTTGAAGGAAAAAACAAAACAAAACAAACCTGTTGTCTCATTGTTGGCCGAAAGGCTCCAGCAGCATTTGGAAAAGATTAAAAAAATCACGTGATTTTGTAATACAACGTTAAGAATCTCCTGACCAGGGATTGAGGAAGAAAATACTTCTAGAATTTGACAAAGTAGAGATGAAAATGAGCTCTGCTACTTATGTACAATGATCTGGTGTCACACAACTTTCCCCATACTCCAGCAGGTTTTACATGCCAGTTCTAGTCTCAGCCAGTCCTCTCAGTAGAGAATCACCCTTCTCCCCCTGGACTCTGAAATCCCAGAGCAAGTGTGGTCCCGGGCTCCTCAATTTACTGATAGTGAGATCTCGGCTAGTCATTTACCATCACTCAACCTGTTTCCTTATCTGTAAAATGAAGCTAATGAAAGGAGCCATATTGTGTGAGCAAATGCATGGAAAGACCTAACAACACATCAGACATACATATTTTTTCCCTCAACTTCTCAAACAAAACTCCCCCACCCTCCCAACTGTCTACAATACTTCTTGCCCTTATTTTATTCTTAAATCATAATGAGCTCCTTCAAAGTTTTAAAGCATGTTGGATATAAACACAAGAGCTTATGTAGATGGATGGAATGAGGGTGGTATGTGAAGGGAAATGGAGGAGTCAGAAAAAACTTCTAGGTTTCTTGATGGAACAACATACTGAAAATTGGCACCATTGATTGCAGTGGAGATTGGGTTTGATAATAGAACAAGAACTCTGTTTTAGGGATATTAAAATTTGGGATTTCAGTAAGAAATCCAAGAGATGATGGTCACCAGGTGGTTGGGCTCAAAACACAATATCATGGGGTCTCCTCAGCTGCTGTTAGTATTTTCAGAGTGAGAGCCAGTATCTCTAGGCATTAGGATTTGGCTTACTGGATCAGTGCTGAGTGAATGTCTGCTGAGTCCACAAATTTGAGAGTAAAGAGGTAAAAGGAAGAGAACAAGACTAGAGTAGATCAGGATGGGCCTTTGCCCCAGCACACTGGACATGAAACATTCCATAGCTAATGGTCCAGTCATTGTCAACTAAAAAGAGCAACAAATCGTGTTGAGGTCAATGACAGACGAAAAAAGGCCTCAGTCAGCTATATGTCCTGCTTTGGAAGCTCTCGAAGCAAAAGTACACCTCTTCATTGGACAAATCCTTTGTCCTTTTATCTTTGTTCTGGAAATTCCAGATGACAAAATATGATATGAAATAGAATCAAGAGAGAGGAAATTTTTTTGTGTTACAATCTGATTATTAACTGAAAAAAAATAGAAAGTTATCTAAGTGGCCAAAATATGATAAATTTAAAAATTCAACTGTTTCTCTATATACCAAAAGTTATCAATTAGAAATGTACATACAAAAAGTACTCAATTAACTGCAAGCCTAAAATAATCTTTAAGGGAAATGTTTAGCAGTAAAATACAAAAAATCTAAAAAACTCTACTGAGAAATATAAACTAAGATTTGAATAAATGGAGAGGCAGATTTTGTTCCTATATGAGTATTATCCTAAGTATTTTAAGACTGTAA